ATTGACAAAAAAATTGATGATCATATTATAAATATCCTGATTTTGAATAATTTAATCATTATAATTATTAATTATAATGTGCATTTCCAATATACTCTTTAACAAGATCAACTTTATTATAATTCTAAGACATTCGTTTGCTTGAAATTGCTAATACAATAAATAGGGATTGTGAAAGTTTTGAATTTTCTATTTATTTGTTATTATGATGTCTCAAGCAAACTAGAAGTTGGACATGACTACCATTACCCATAGCCTCTCTCCTGACAATTACGATGGTCGACAAGATTTCTCCTTCTAAATATTTATGAAATGTTGATACACAATTGGAGGGTTCACCAATGGACAATCAATACTAGTACCACTTGAAAAAGTCAGGATTTTCCCACAAAGGCAATTATAAAGAGGTACTAGTATATTTATAATAAAATGGTGAGATTAATATCTTCATTTTTCTTAAAAGGCAGATGGATGAAAAAGTCAGGATTTTCCTACAAAGGGTTGAGACATTTAAGGGCAAATTCTAAATGAGATTCCACACATGCACTAAGAAGCGTTTGCATGATAGGATCTAGTATATTCATTTGGATGGCAAAAAATCGTTGGATGTCCACAAACTTTTTGAATTGTCTATTGAACCGGAGTCCATTAGACAAATGAGGATGTCTCATCCAATGATGATATCTTTATCTAGTGAGCTAGAACCAAGGATTTTAGTGGTGAGAGAACATTGTGGGAAGAACTGAAAGGTAATGGGTTTGCTTTGAACTCTTGTGGAAAAAATATCTCCAGAAGCAGAATTAAAATATCGGGTGTATGGATTTCAGTATTCTTCTAGAAGAATTTTGGTGTCAAGCATCGAAGCGCTGGCTCCAGTATCTATAAGGACTATAAGAGAAATAGGTTAGCATATTTAGAAAGATAGATTTTGATGGGAAAATGTGGAAGGATGGAAGGAATGTAGGTACAAAGATCTTGGATTTTTGGAGGTTTTGGATTTTTGGAAGAAAAGGAGTAAACTTTATTTTCTATTTCTTCATATAAGTCTTCAGTATCACTAGACTGGGATCACATCTGTATAGCGCATATGGTGTGCATTGTTGGTTCATCTTCTAAAGAGAAGACAAATTCAACATCATCATCCTAAAGATAAATTTCAGTTTCTTTTTCAAGCTCCTAGATTTAATGAGAGTTTCTTCTCTAGGTCTTCGAACAATTCTTTGCAAAGTGGCCTTTTTTGTTACAAATGTAATATCTGTCGGATTTCTTACGTCTTCCAGACTGATCGTGTTTGGATCGTCCTTTTATCAAGAAACACCATTTATGTCTTCTTCGTAGATTGAGGGAGAATCATTTGAAGTACTTTTTCTTTTTATGCTGATCTCCGCAAGAAGGATCATCACAGGATGCTTTCTTTGGACATTTGATTATTAACTCTGGCCTTCAACAAGCTCCATCAAGCTCTTTATTGCTCTTAAGATAACTTTTAAATGCCTTTCGGCGAATAAAGAGGTCATCAAGAGCCAAATGTATCTCCTGCTACAATTCTTCTATCGAGACATCAGCAATTCTTCGCTGCTTATTCTGAAGGGATCTTTCGACAACTTGACCAATTTCTTTTGGAATAGAAGATAGAAATACCTGCTTCAGGTATGGATCGGCTCCAAGAGCATAAAACAATTTAAGCATTTCCATGAAATGCTTATTAAGGTGTTTTCAACGTAAAGAGCAGTATGTTCTATTTAAAAACTCTCATTTTTAGTTCAAGAAGGTCTTTTGGTTTGCCAAATAAGAACTGGTGGATGACGCGGATCACATAATGAAAATCTGTTTGGAGTAAGAACGTCATCTGATTTTGAACAGAAATGGTTTTCCACCAATCTTTGAGGCTACTAGTAAATCGGCAAAACAACACTACAAGTGCCATAACTTATGTACGGCGCTCACTTTGGTGCCATAAGTTTTTTTTGGATCACTTTAGTGCTAAAATTTTTGAAAACGATCACTTAAGTGCTAAAATTTTTGAAAACGATCACTTAAGTGCCAACTCCGGTGCCGTACATAATTTTTCGCGTAAATCCGACGTGGTATTTTTTTATTAATTTCTGAAGCTGACGTGGCTCGCCGGAGATTGGCACTTAAGTGATCGTTTTTCAAAAATTTTAGCACTTAAATGATCGTTTTAAAAATTTTAGCACTTAAGTGATCGTTTTCAAAATTTAGTATCTTGAAGTGATCCAAAAAAACTTATGACACTTAAGTGATCGTTTTCCTCCGACTTGGCACCAAAGTGATCCGAAAAAAAGTTATGACACCAAAGTGATCTCCGTATACAAGTTATGGCACTTATAGTGTCCTTTTGCCCTAGTAAATTTGCTAACGAACTTCGTCTGTATATCATGCCAACTTTCAACAAAGAGCTCTAGTGCTGAGCCAAGCATGGAACTCCTGTTATCTTTCTGACCATTTAGGGTATGGAATATCATTAAGAGTAAAATATTATTTGGAGGTCGAAGCTCTAGAACGAGAGTTCTAATTATGAATGTTTACTATTTCTGGCTCAAATGAGTTTGATTCCATATCCGCCTCAGGGGGATCGACCATGAGATTAGCAGTTTTGGGGAAATTTGGTATCTCAGGGTCAGAAGGTGAGGTTTCTTATGAAGAAATGGAGGATGTTTCAAAGTTGGAAAAAATATTTTACTGGGATGGATCAATTGTAGTAATAACTGGCAGCTTCTATTGGCATTGATTTCGCAAAAAAGCCTCTCATGGATTTGAAACCATGCTATGCGAGGGAGCAATTTCCTTGGTCCTACTCGCTATCATGGTCCTTGCCATGCCAGAATCCCCCCGATGGCTCATCATGCGAGGAAAGCTGCTTGAAGCAAAGCGCATCCTCGCCAAGATCTCCGCCTCCAAGGAGGAAGCTCAACTCCAATTTTAAAAATATCAAGGCGGCTGCTGGCATCCCTCCAGAGTGGAATGATGACATTGTCATTGTGCCGAGCACTGGGGAGGGCGTGTGGTAGGATCTCTTCCGCCATCTGAGCCCACCTATCCGCTACACGCTCCTCTGCGCCATTATGATCCAATTATTCCAAAAGACCTTTGGAATTGGCATTATCCTCCTTTACATTACTCGTTTCATAGAGAAGGCTGGCTTCATGTCCTCCGACGAAGAGATCTTATTGACTATCCTAGTTGAAGTTGCAAAGACCATATGCATCCTCGTGGCCACTTTGCTCATTGGTAAGCTCGGGCGACGACGGTTGCTATTGAGCAGCATAAGTGGGATGATTGTGTCTCTTGTCATCCTTAGAACAAGTCTTGTGAAGATCAACCAAATCGACACAAATCATATCGACAACCTAAATGACATGAAGCAAATGTGGGTGGCAAAAATGTGCATCACCTCATTGTTCCTTTACATGGCCTCTTTCTTCGTAGGGATGGGGCCTGTCACTTCGATTTTCAACTCTGAGGTATTCCCACTTAAGCTGCAAGCACAGGGATGCGCAATCGCCTTTGCTGTGAACCAAGGGGCAAGTGCACTGATATCATCCATATTCTTAGTGCTGGACAAGCCGATGCCCCTCGGCGGGGCTGCCTTCTCATTCGTTGTGGTCTCCATCATAGCGGGGGTGGTCTTCTTCATCACAATGCCGGAAACTAAGGGCTGGTCTTCTTCATGATTAGGAGAACGGAACAATTATTTTTGGGATTACATAATTGGGGACGATCCAAATTATGTTTGATTAAGTATCTAGGGTTTATGATTGATTATATATGACTTTCTTGACTGCATTGATATGCTGTCTGAAATTAGACGGATAAATGAAGATACCAAGATATGCATTATGCATGCATGACAAGTTGACATTTAAATTAAAGAAATATCATTTTTGGAAAACATTTTTCTACTTTTAAGATATGTTCATCAAGCTTCGTAAATAGAATGGCGGTAGCCTTGAGGAATATAGCTTCGGATGAGCAATGGTGATTGTATAAAAATTGTCAACAATGGGTTGAGAGTATGATAAGAATTGCCAATTATGCAAGAATACCTAAATTTTTTAAAACGTTATATGAGATATTCTATATGCCACCAATTGACTTACATAAGGTGCCAACTGACTTTGCAGGTATCAACACCCACAGCTAGAGATTCTAATGTGAACAAGACCATTCAATCGGAGTTGATTGAGAACTCCAATCCTCCTACATAGGCACAGCTGAAGTACGCCTTAAGATGCACCCCGGTGGCCTCCGTCACCTCATTTATGCTGGGCTTTGGTAAGCCCCACCCCCCCCCCCCCCCTCATGAGAAGACTGACCCTGTGGTCGTCCATGAAGCTTTGAAGTATATACCTATGAATTAATTTTCCATACAGTGAATCAGTCTTTGTAGAAAACAAAAAAAGTTAGTTATATCTTAGTCATTATTTTTTTTTGTCTAGCTTTATTATCGATACAACTGATAGATCTATCACCAAAAGTCATATTTTAATAAATAGGAAAAAAAAACAAAAAAAAATATTACTTAATATTGGATAACATCATCCATGTTTTCTTTTTCCTTTTTGAGCCAATCAAGTTAATTTCGGATAAACTCCGTCGCATTTATTAATTCTCATAATTCTTATTTTATAATCACGTGTAGTAGGAAAATAAATTCAAATAAAATGGAGAAAATAGGGAACTTAATATTTTTTTTTCAATTTCTTGTATATGGTTATAATTTACGTGATAATGTTATGATGATAAATAATATTTTCTTGTTTTTTTTTATTTTGGCAAAAATAGGAGTGCAGAGCGAGACGTTAACTACCTTAAAGAACAACCAGGAGCTAGCCGACAAGCATGTTGACCGACTGACTCTGATCCTCCACATATTTACACTTCTTGGGTCGGTGTTTGCAGGGTGGACCACCGATAGGACCGGTCGCCGGTTAACCATCTTCTTGGGGGGATTCATCTACTTCGTTGGGCCCTGATTCATGGGCTTCGCTACCAATAACTTTATCATCTTGTTGGGCCCCATCATCGCTCATGTCAGCATCGGCTACGCCCGTACAATCACCCCCACCTACGTGGCCAAGCTCTCCCCCGCCTCTTACCGTGGGTGCTTCACCTCCTTCCCCGAGGTACTCACTCATTTTCCTTTCTTTTTTTTTTCTAATTTTAAGCATCTTTTCCACTTTTTTATATGTTATCATTTTTTGTCTTTTTCATTATATGTTTCGGTGGTTTAGGTGTTCATTAATGCCGGCATCACTCTAGGCTACGCCTGCAATTATATCTTCTCTCATAACAATTTCAACGGTTGACGTCTCATGCTATGTGAGGGAGCAATCTCCTTGGTCCTGCTCGCCATCATGGTCCTCGCCATGCTGGAATCCTCCCGATAGCTCATCATGCGAGGAAAGCTGCTCAAAGCAAAGCGCATCCTCGCAAAGATCTCCGCCTCCAAGGAGGAAGCTCAACTCCAATTTTAAAAATATCAAGGCGGCTGCTGGCATCCCTCTAGAGTGGAATGATGACATTATCATTGTGCCGAGCATCGGGGAGGGCGTGTGGCGGGATCTCCTCTGCCACCCCGAGCCCATCTATCCGCTACACGCTCCTTTGCGCCATTATCATCCAATTATTCCAAAAGGCCTTTGGAATTGGCATTATCCTCCTTTACATTGCTCGTTTCTTAGAGAACGCTAGCTTCATGTCCTCCGACAAGAAGATCTTATTGACCATCCTAGTCGAAGTTGCAAAGACGATATGCATCCTCATGGCCACTTTGCTCCTTGACAAGCTCGGGTGACGGCGGTTGCCGTTGAGCAGCATACGTGCAATGATTGTGTCTCGTCATCCTCAGAACATGTCTTGTGAAGATCGACCAAATCAACACAAAGCATATTGACAACCCAAATGACATGAAGCAAATGTGGGTGGTAAAAATGTGCATCACCTCATTATTCCTTTACGTGGCCTCCTTCTCCGTAAGGATGGGGCCTTTCACTTCGGTTTTCAACTCTGAGGTATTCCCACTTAAGCTGCGAGCATAGGAATGCGCAATCGCCTTTGCTGCGAACCAAGGGGCGAGTGCACTGATATCATCTATATTCTAAGTGCTGGACAAGCCGATGTCCCTCGGCGGGGCTACCTTCTCATTCGCGGTGGTCTCCATCATAGCATGGGTAGTCTTCTTCATCACAATGCTGGAGACCGAGGGCTGTTCTCTGGAGGAGACGGGCTGCTTTTTTGGTGAACAGATCCAGCGGAGGTTTACGGTTAGCGAAATTGAAATGCAAGGGAACAACGAGAGGACACGATCGAGGTAACGACAATTAAGGGAATAATTATAGGATAGAGGTGTCTAGCAAACATAAATGTGGTTGTTGGGGTATTTCTTTTTGAAAGATTAGACACACATCATGCATAGCTCTTCTTCGTATCATCACCCATTTGACCAAATGTTGGAGTTAGTTTTAAATTCTCATCCTGCTCCATTTGACCAAGTCCATGTCCATCTTTTATTGACAACTCCCGGAGTACCGTTGATTCTCTACTTGACCATCCATGATGAATTATTGGGAGCCATGCTAGCCCAAAAGAGATCAAGAGATGGAAGGGAGTGTGCGATATATTATCATATGATGATATAAGCTCCCAACTTTTTTTATATGCATTTGTATTTTCGACCAAAAACAGAAAAAAAATAATAAATAAAATTATCCTTTTTGATAAATACTGAAATTATCCGAGCAATAATTTTCGTGGCACAAAATTTCTTTAAATCTGAATATAAGCTTTTATAGGATTCATAATTAAGTTCCTTTATATTTAGTAATATTTTAATAAAAAATAAGGATTAATGGTGTGTATATTTCACTTAAACCTTTCGTTTTTTTTATTACAAGAAGTTCTTCTTAAATCCAAGACGGCTATTTTTTTCAATTAAATATTCGAGACACGAGCTTTTATGAAGATGAAAACTAACATGAATAAAAATTGATAGATTGTGTATAAAATTTAGTTAATTACTGACTATAAGCTATAGATGACATCATATAATGAATAAAAAATTCAATGATCATCTACTATCGAGTCAAATATATATTTTTTACATTGTAAACTAAGGACTACCTTGAAATATTTGAAAGAAATAAGGCTCATTTAATTTATTATGTGTTAAAATGAATGGAATGTGAATAGTCAATGGGTGATATGGGCCTCTTGGATGAATTTTCAATGGCGTTAACCTTTTTTCAATCTAGTACTTTATTCTTACTTTTTACGATACTTTTAGGGATCCACAAGTACCTATTTGAGATTGAAAATGAAATAGTTAGGGCAAAAGTGAGTGAGGGCAAGAGAGATGAGTTGAGTTTAAATAAATTATAAACCCATTTATAACCCATTTACGACCCATTTAATACCCATATTATATATATACCCATTTATGATCCATTTACTAATATATGGATTAAGAAATGAGCTTATGACCCATTTTGATAGGTCTAATTATCGATGCCAGCGATGGAGAGAGATACGGTTTCTGTTGCTCATTGTGACGCAACATCTCTCGCGCTCATTTCAAGCCGTGACTGAAACTCGATCGAACTTGGATTCTTCACTTCAAGCTTTTCATCATTCGATTACTGCAACCACATTGAAGCTAAGTTATTTGTTGTTCTCTAGTTTTCATTTTTGGATTCAGTCTAAATCATTTAACCAACATTTACAGCGGCTTTCTTCATCAATTTCAGGCAGCCATAGCCATCGTCAACCGTCACCACTTGCCATTCTCGAGCTGTGTGGAAACTCCTCTCTTTAACTCTATTTCCATATCTAAGTGCTTGAAGAATTGGATTGCTGATACATCCACCTTCACCGGATCTTCATCACTAACGCGTCTAACACCTCTGCTCTCTGACACTCGCTAGTTGAAGCTAAAATGTCAGTTTCGCTAAGCTAAGAACATAGTTTTCTATTTCGGTCCTTTTGCATGCTGAACAGAGACCAAGAAATCTTTAACTGCCGATTCATTGAAGATTGTCTGCCATTGAGTTCCTGTTAGTGATTTGAATATGTTTCACTGCGTTTGTGATGATTAAAATATGAATTATGGATTTACATCTTCATCTGAGTTCTTTGTCCCATATGTCCACCACCTGTTTGATGAAATTCATGAACCAGGTTAGTAGATATGTAAGTTGTGATAAAAGAAACTTCAGAGCCATTTTTCATTATGCTTCCTCTCGTGTTGAAGTACTTTTGTGTTTGAATATAATTGAGAAGACTTTAGGCATGTTTGCGTGATTGTTGTTGAAAAATTTCTTATTGGCTGATCTATGCATATTGTTCAACTTGATCCTTGCCTATCTGTATGTACACTTGATGGCTTTGATTCATGTCTGTTCTCATTACTCTCCGCCACATGTAGATTCGCATCAGTAAAAGTTTCATTGGTGAACAAAGCATTTGAACCTCTGCCATTTAGTTTTATCACGTGATTCACTTGACTGAATTTCTTGCTCGCCGGCCATGGCTTTTTCTCTTTTGATTGATGATGCTTGGATTGATATCAAATTACTTCCTGACCTGGCTGTGGACTTAGAAGTTAATGAACCCTCGCATGAACTTGTTTGCTCAGGATTGGAATAATTCTCATTCAAAAAATTGTGTTAGGTGACTGGAATTAATGAGTTAATGAGATGTTTGATGGTGTTAATTTTTTGAAGCTAAAACAACAACGAACAAAACTAAGTGAATGATGAACATAGCAAAGAGTTGATCCTGTCTCTGTAGGAGTAATTGCAGAATGTTGGAAAAAACGAATAAATTAAAGAGGCAAAGGGAAACTTAGCAAAGCAGGAATCCGTGTTCTGGATATGATGGACTAGGAAAGGGACTGTAAAAGAAATAGAGGAAATAAAAGAAATAAAAATATAAAAACGAAAGCTAAATGATAAGGAACTTCAAGTCTTAGTTAGGTAGTAGAATCTTAGAAATAATTTTAATTGAATTCCAATTAGTTTAGGTTCACACTGTTCGGGAAATTCTATTTCTTGATTTTTAGGACAATTTGATTTTTAGATAGCTTTTCCTTGGGGAAAAAGAAATATTGAAATATAGAAAATGTCAAAAAAAGGAAACTCAAAAAAGTAATATGTTATTAATGGTTGTGGTTAGGAGGTTGATCGGCTTTATCGATTACATGCATCAATCTTTTCAAAGGATCTCCTCGATTTGTCTAAGTTCCTTGTTGGTCATTTCTTTTATGTGAACATTCTAATGCTTTTCATTGATTGTGATGGGCGAATGAATGACATGAGATGATGGAAGAACCGAACCATGGAAGGATTGAAGAAGGTTCGAGATCTTCATGAGTTCCTATTAGGATTAGGGTAAATTTATGATTTGGACTTTAGATGAAGCCTGACATCATTTAAACTCTCACTTTCTTCCTTGCAAAATTTATATTTAATGCCAAACGAATCTAATGTGTTATGTTTTTATGTATATCACACTATGGTTTTGATAGTTCCACCACCAGAGCAATGCACAAGCAGTAAGCTAATATATATGTATAGTGTATACAAATATATTTTTTTAACATGCATATTTATTCATAAATCTAACAACCCCAGAATTAAAGCTCAAGTTAGATGGCATCACATTGTGTCAGTTCATATTTGCAGACGGGCGCATATGGCTTCTCCAGGACGCGAGGATGCAAGCCGCTTGTTGAGAGAGATTCGACCGGTATTTTGTTTATAATTTCTGCTAGTTCCTCATTAATGTTTTATATGACGGTAGACCGATTTTTTTTAATCAAATTGCATTATGTGAGTGAATTGAATGTTGCATTCATGATTAGGATAATGGAACAATTATTTTTGGGATTACATAATTGGAGACGATCCAAATTATGTTTGATTAAGTATCTAGGGTTTATGATAGATTATATATGACTTTCTTGACTGCATTGATATGTTGTCTGAAATTAGACGGATCAATGAAGATACCAAGATATGCATTATGCATGCATGACAAGTTCACATTTAAATTAAAGAAATATCATTTTTGGAAAACATTTTTCTACTTTTAAGATATGTTCATCCAACTTCGTAAATAGAATGGCGGTAGCCTTGAGGAATATAGCTTCGGATGAGCAATGGTGATTGTATAAGAATTGTCAACTATGGGTTGAGAGTATGATAAGAATTGTCAATTATGCAAGAATACCTAAATTTTTTAAAACATTATATGAGATATTCTATATGCCACTAATTGACTTACATAAGGTGCCAACTGACTTTGCAGGTATCAGCACCCATAGCTAGAGATTCTAATGTGAACAGGACCATTCAATCGGAGTTGATTGAGAACTCCAATCCTCCTACATAGCCACAGCTGAAGCACGCCTTAAGATGCACCCTGGTGGCCTCCCTCACCTCATTTCTGCTGGGCTTTGGTAAGTCCTCTCTCTCTCTCTCTCTCTCTCTCTCTCTCTCTCTCTCTCTCTCTCATGAGAAGACTTACCCTGTGGTTGTCCATGAAGCTTTGAAGTATATACCTGTGAATTAATTTTCCATACAGTGAATCGGTCTTTGTAGAAAACAAAAAAAAGCTAGTTATATCTTAGTCATTATTTTTTTTGTCTAGCTTTATTATCGATACAACTAATAGATCTATCACCAAAAGTCATATTTTAATGAATAGGAAATAAAAAAAGAAAAAAAATATTACTTAATATTGGATAAAAATCATCCATGTTTTCTTTTTCCTATTTGAGCCAATCAAGTTAATTTCTGATAAACTTCGTTGCATTTATTAATTCTTATAATTCTTATTTTATAATCACATGTATTAGGAAAATAAATTCAAATAAATTGGAGAAAATAGGGAACTTAATATTTTTTTTATTTTTTCAATTTCTTGTAAATGGTTATAATTTACGTGATAATGTTATGACGATAAATAATATTTTCTTGTCTTTTTTTTATTTTGGCAAAAATAGGAGTGCAGAGCGAGACGTTAACTACCATAAAGAAGGACCAGGAGCTAGCCGACAAGCATGTTGACCGACTGACTCTGAACCTCCACATATTTACACTTCTTGGGTCGGTGTTTGCAGGGTGGACCGCCTATAGGATCAGTCGCCAGTTAACCATTTTCTTGGTGGGATTCATCTTCTTCATTGGGCCCTTATTCATGGGCTTTGCTTCCAATAACTTCATCATCTTGTTAGGCCGCATCATCGCTCACGTCGAAGTCGGCTACGCCCTTACAATGACCCCCATCTACGTGGCTGAGGTCTCCCTCGCCTCTTACAGTGGATGCTTCACCTCTTTCCCCGAGGTACTCACTCATTTTCCTCTTTGTTTTTTTTAATTTTGAGCATTTTTTCACTTTTTTATATGTTATCATTTTTTGTCTTTTTCATTATATGTTTCAATGGTTTAGGTGTTCATTAATGTAGGCATCGCTCTCGGCTATGCCTGCAATTATATGTTCTCCATGATCAATTTCAACGGTTGGTGTCTCATGCTATGCGAGGGAGCAATCTCCTTGGTCCTGCTCGCCATATCATGGTACTCGCCATGCCGGAATCCCCCCGATGGCTCATCATGCGAGGAAAGCTGCTCAAAGCGAAGCGCATCCTCGCCAAGATCTCCGCCTCCAAGGAGGAAACTAAACTCCAATTTTAAAAATATCAAGGCGGCTGCTGGCATCCCTCCAGAGTGGAATGATGACGTTGTCATTGTGCCAAGCATCGGGGAGGGCGTGTGGCAGGATATCCTCCGCCACCCAAGCCCATCTCTCCGCTACACGCTCCTCTGCGCCATTTTGATCCAATTATTCCAAAAGGCCTTTGGAATTGACATTATCCTCCTTTACATTGCTCGTTTCTTAGAGAAGGCTGGCTTCATGTCCTCTGACAAGAAGATCTTATTGACCATCCTAGTCGAAGTTGCAAAGACAATATGCATCCTCGTGGCCACTTTGCTTCTTGACAAGCTCAGGCGACGGCTGTTGCTGTTGAGCAGCATAGGTGGGATGTTTGTGTCTCTTGTCATCCTCAGAACATGTCTTGTGAAGATCGACTAAATCGACACAAAGCATATCGACGACCCAAATGACATGAAGCAAATGTGGGTGGTAAAAATGTGCATCACCTCATTATTCCTTTACGTGGCCTCCTTCTCCGTAGGGATGGGGCTTTTCCCTTCGGTTTTCAACTCTGAGGTATTCCCACTTAAGCTGCGAGCATAGGGATGCGCAATCGCCTTTGCTGCGAACCAAGGGGTGAGTGCACTGATATCATCTATATTCTAAGTGCTGGACAAGCCGATGTCCCTCGGCGGGGCTGCCTTCTCATTCGCAGTGGTTTCAATCATAGCATGGGTAGTCTTCTTCATCATAATGCCGGAGACCGAGAGCTGTTCTCTGGAGGAGACGGGCTGCTTTTTTGGTGAACAGATCCAGCGGAGGTTTACGGTTAGCGAAATTGAAATGCAGGGGAACAACGAGAGGACGCGATCGAGGTAATGACAATTAAGGGAATAATTATAGGATAGAGGTGTCTAGCAAACATGAATGTAGTTGTTAGGGTATTTCTTTTTGAAAGATCGGACACACATCATGCATAGCTCTTCTTCGTATCATCACCCATTTGACCGAATATTGGAGTTAGTTTTAAATTCTCATCCTGCTCCATTTGACCAAGTCCATGTCCATCTTTTATTGCCAACTTATGGAGTACCGTTGATTCTCTACTTGACCATCCATGATGAATTATTGGGAGCCATGCTAGCCCAAAAGAGATCAAGAGATGGAAGGGAGTGTGCGATATATTATCATTTGACCGATGTATGAGTATTACATCGGTTACGTCAATATACACTTCATTATCAAGTCTTGTTAGTGACTGAGAATGACTCAATCAAGTACCTCTTAGAGAAGCTAGCTTTCGTTGGAAAATTAGCCAAGTGGCAAATTCTCATATCCGAGTTTGATGTGTAAACTATGGCACAAAAATCCGTCAAAGGTCGAGCCATAGTTGATATGCTAGCCGAAAGTTCAAAGCAATTAGAAGGCCCTAATGGAATGGATCTTGTAGATGAACGCATTCTCTTGATTTCACATGACAAATGGATTATGTATTGTGATGGTGCCATTAACTTATCCGGTTTGGGCACTGGGGCAGTATTTATCTCCCCAATGGGTCAACATTATCCCGTGGCAGCAAAGCTAATTTTTCCATGTACCAACATCTCGAAATATGAAGCTTGTATCCTTGACTACAACTTGCCATTGATATGAAGGTTAAGAGATTACAAGTCTAAGGTGATTCCGCACTCATCATTCTTCAAACTGAAGGTGAATGGCAAACACGCGCTTCAAAATTGATACCATATCACAAATTTCTTGGAGAATTAATTGAAGAATTTGAAAAGATATCTTTCGAGTAGCTACCAAGGTCTAAAAATCAATTTGCCGATACTTTGGCAACCTTGTCATCAATGTTACAAGTTATGGATGGATTAGATATTGATCCCCTCAAAATTGAAAACCTTGAACGCCCGGCTTATTGCATGACAATTGAAGAAAAATCTTATGGCGAGCTATGGTATTACGATATCATGACCTATCTCCAAAAAGGCACATTTCCCGAAGGGAGTCAAACAGCTGATAGAAAGTATTTGATGAAATTAGCATCAAAATTCTTTGTGAGTGGAGATGCTCTTTATAAAAGATCATTCGATTCGGTTTTGCTAAGGTGCGTGGATGCCAAAGGAGCCAATCAATTGATGAAGGAAATACATGAAGGAGAGTGTGACCCACACATGAATGGTCACCTCTTAGCAAAGAAAATCATGAGACTCGAATATTATTGATTGACAATGGAGACGGATTGCATTCAACACGTGCGATAATGTCATTAATGCCAAGTTTATGGGGACAAGATCAATGCTCCTCCAAGAGAGTTACATCAAATGTCCGAAGCATGGCCCTCTTCTATGTGGAGGATTGATTTTATTGGACCCATCAATCCTAAAGCTTCAAATGGGCATCGCTTTATTTTGGTGGTCATTGACTATTTCTCCAAATGGATCAAAGCAAATTCATATGCCAATGTCACCACAAAGAATGTGGCGAAATTCTTCCGTCGTGATATAATTGCTCGATATGGAGTTCCCGAAGAAATCATCACCGATAATGGATCCAATTTAAACAAGATAGTGGACGAATTGCTTAATGAATTTCACGTTCGTCACTTGAATTCTTCACCATGCCGCCCACAAATGAATGGAGCTGTGGAAGCAGCAAACAAAAACATAAAGAAAATTATATCTAAGACTGCTCAGAATTATCGTGATTGGCACAAACGATTGCCATATGCACTAATGACAGATCGAACTTCAATCCGTACTTCAACTGGGGCAACTCCGTTCTCACTTGTATATGGAATGGAGGTTGTTCTACCCGTGGAAGTGGAGATTCCTTCACTAAGGGCATTCTCACATTTGAAGCTTTCCGAAACTGAATGGGTTCAACAAAGATATGAACAATTTAACATGATTGACGAAAAGAGGTTAAAATCTTTATGTCATGGGCAAAGTTATTAAAAGCGAGTGGCGAAGTCCTTCTATCGCAAAGTTCGATCGAGGCACTTTGAGGTTAATGATCTTGTGCTAAAGAAGGTTATGTCCAACACATTGGATCCTCACGGAAAGTTCACCCCGAATTATGAGGGCCCATATACTGTAAAGAAGGTATTATCCTATGGAGCCTTCCTTCTTACCGAAATGGATGATCAAGAATTGCCAAATCTTATAAATGCAGATGCTGTCAAGAAATATTTTCCATGAATGAAAGGCCATGAAGTTATTTTTCGAGCAAGACTAAGTCACTTTTAGGTCACTTCTTTTTGGCTAGAAAAGTCACTTTTAGGTCACTTGCATCATGCATACATTGCATAAATACATTTGTTCATTTTGTAGGTATCAAAACATTCACAAGGAAATTGGAGGTGTTTTCTGATATGGAATCAAGCAGAAGAGCAAATTGTATAATTCCAATTTATTTCTTTCCAATATAATTCTCTGACATCGTTTCCTTCCTTTCGTTAGGAAACAACACTCTTGCCGAGACCAAACTCAAAGGCGACGCTGTGTCAAGAATTATACATCGACATAATCTCCTTGCTGTCAACTACCCATTGTGGAGTAAGTGAACAAAACCTTGGAAAAAATGTTCTTTGTCAACGTTTTTCAAAAACACCTTCCAAAGTTTTTCAAAAGTTGGAAAAACAATTCCAAGTTTGAAAATATGATTTTGAAGAATTTGAATGGCATTCTTCAAATTATTTATTCATACATTGGAAAACACATCATGCATAAAAAATCCTCACGGAAGATAATTTAAACAAATGATTTTTTGGCAAAGCAAAAGTGAATGCTAGTCATGTCAAGTCAAAGCATTTAAGATGACAAAATGCAAGCTTAATCCAAACACATCCCTATTCATTTTTTAGAGTTGAGCGAAAAAACTAAACCTTTGTAGGATTTATTCGCATTGAATACATGAATTGAAGTGATAAAAGGTATTTCATTTCTTTATCCTAAACACTTAGGATGAAGTACCCTCGTCAAGAACCACTCCATATTGAGACAAATTAGGAGGTTATGGTTGATCATTTTTGGAGTAAAAAGATTAAAAAAGATTTTATTACTTTCACTAGCGTCAACCTTCTTATGGTAACTACAGGTGGATTTTTATGGAAGCTCGAAGCATCCCAAAGTAAAGAAAAGCATTATTTCCTCTACCTAAGCATTTATATCCTTTGCTTAACCAAGTGGATCTTTAAGTATGTTCATTTTAAAGCCCAAGTGGTGATTATTTCTCCATATTGGGGCAATGCATATGATTTACCAAGAAAATTTGAAAAAATTGATGAATATGTGAAGAGTGTCTCGAGAGTCCTAAGAGCTCAAAAGATAAATACTATGGGACATGAAAAAGCAGTGTGCTTGGTAAAAATAAGGTAGATGTCCATGAAAAAGAAAATGCATCAAAAGCAACATGCTTATGATGAAAACAAAATTTCAATTGCAAAAGATGCTTAGAAAAGAGCAAAGCTTTTGTGTTGCAAGAAAAAATGGACTCTCGAGACAAGTTTCAAGAGTCAAATCGCATCAAGATTCGATGATTTAGTAATAATGCCAAGATAATCACCATCTTTTTAAAATCCCTTCTACAAAATTTTAAGCCTTTTGAGCCTCATCCGAACCGACATTACAACCCTCTCAAAATCTCCCCTGATTGGAATGGTTCAAGTGAACATGAAGATTTCACAAAGAAGCTACCGCTTGAAGGAGTGGAAGCAATCCTGTCTTATCTTATCTTCAAGGTTCTTGACTTGTAAACCTAATGAAGATATTGATAACACTTCTTTCTTGGCCTCAAAGTGACTATCCTTCGTGTAAACCCATGACCAACAGTCCTTCAAAAAACCTTTTTGATTGATCATATTGTATTTACCGCGAATATTTCCAAAAGCCTTTGGCATAAGTTATATGAGGTATCCCCAGTGATCGAAGTTGGAATCCCACATTAATGGATGGGAATAAAAGCCTTCGTGAGAACCATGATACGAAGACCTTTTCGATTAAGGTGCTTCAACTTGGCATTTTTAACCAACCGTTTTTGAAGATATCAAAATCATTTTGTTTGAAGTTTTCCTTTAAAGGAATTTTGACAAATCGATGGAATTTACCAATAGCTTGATTGACAATTATTTGAATGACGTTCAAAGTTTTCATTTGATTAAATTTCTTAGTTGATTGCTTATGCAATCTTGAATGATTCCTTTTCAACAGTTTTTCCAAGTGGATGCAGGTTAGTATCTTCGGATCTTTAATATCCAAGTAATTGCAGCTTGCAGTCATTCTCAAATCAAAATTCCCCAAGTGGAGCGGATCTTCATTATCCTCTTCCTTTCTCAAGTCGACATGGTGAGTTTTCGCGCCAGTGACCTTTTCAAATCGGCATGATATGCTCTCACAATCATGACCATCGCCTTTTCAAATTAGGCATGATGAGCTTTCGCACCCGTGACATTTTCAAATCGGCACGATGTGTTCTTGCACTTATTACCATCCCCTTTTCAAAATTAGGCATAGTGAGCTTTCGCACATGTGACCTCTTCAAATCGGCATGATGTGCTCTCGCACTCATGACCATTCCCTTTTCGAATCGACATGATGAATGTTAGTAACTGTGACCGATTCATTCCCTTTTAGTTGAAATCTGTTGTTACATGGTAAGAACACTCCTTTTAGTCGAAACCCATTTCGTACAATGGTAAGACTATTCCTTCTAGTCGAAACCCCTTTCTTATAATGGAAAGACTACTCCTACTTTCTTTTCCTTCCTTTCATCTCCATCCTTTCTTTCCTTAACATTTACACTACATGGCCGAGAGAAAGAGAGATGAGAACATCAATGGTGAGATCAATACCAAGGCTCGAGGTAAGTTTCAAAAGTACGTCTTCTAATCAAATGTCATTCATTTTGTTATTTTCCTTTTATCTCCAGTGGAGTCGACCAAATATCGCAGGTATCATTTGATCTTGGAGATGAACCTCTTTGAACTCCCTCTCAAAGAGGGCTAGCTATTGACACCTAATTTTTAGCTAACGCATCTTGAAAGGTAAAAGCTTGAGATTAGAGTTTCCGATCACGACGGAAGCCAATCCTCAACCAAAAAGAGTTATTTAGCATCTAAATTAGCATTAACCATTCACTTTCTAGCTTTTTGCATTTCAATTTTAAAAAGTTAAAAAATTGACTTTTGAGTTGAATTTTTTGTCAAACTTTGACCAAAAGTCAACCCAAAGTCAAATTTTATTTTTTTGCATGAAAAACTCCAAAATAGTGTCAATTTCACTTTTGCACAATCAATTTTCAAAACATTCAAAGTTTGACCCATTAATTGGCATTTTAGTATATAAGTACTAAAATGTTGACTTTTTTTTTTTTTTTTGGGTAACCTAGGGAACCCCGCACACTGACAAGGAAGTAACCCCGGCGACACGCGTCTAGCTACCACACATGTGCCACCGGTTAAGTCGCCCTGCGGCGCCGGGATTCGAACACTCAACCTTTTGCGAGAGGAAGAGTGCGCGCTCCAGCAGCGCCACCCAGGTGGGTGGTCTAAAATGTTGACTTTTGATCAACACTTTGTCCAAAAAAATTGAAAAAAATTCAAAACGACCTAAATCAATTTCTTTTTAGCTTTTCACTTTGGCATCATCAATTTTACAAAAATCAGTTTAGAATCAACTTTTTCCCAATTTGTTGAATTTGGTTCAAATCGACTAAAAATGAAATTAATTCATTTCTATTCATTTTTTAGAATAGTTTCCTTCACGACATTTTATCTAGAGGTCGTATTGCATTCAATTGTCAAATCAATTTTAAAATTCCAAGCCAAGGTTGAAAACCCCCAATTTTAGCCCTAATTAGAGATTCTGATCAGTTCTTCATGATTTGCGTAATTAAGACGGATAAACCTAATTTCTTATATGAAACTCAAATTCGAAATCAATTTTGGAATATTCACATTAATTTGAGTCAATTTGACCAATTTAGTGATCCAATGATTGAGAAATCCAAGACTAATTGGTCTAATTAATATAATTCAACTTGACCCACTCTAGACTAACATACAATTTGATGAATTGAAGTTCAATTTGGCTAATTAGACTTCAATCAAATTCATTAGTCTAGTTTGGCAATGCAATTTAACTCAAATTGAAGAGCAATTGAGCCAAACAAGTTAAGATTGGTGAATCCGTACTTGTATTTCAAATTGGTTCAATCCAATTTAATCAAATTCAATTCAATTGAGTCAATCAATCATAATAATGATGAAATTGCTTAAAATTGGAACCAAATTGAGCCAAGAACCGAACCGGTTCTGCCCAGTCGAACCCCGGTCAAACCGGTCAAACTGGTTCAACCCGGTTTGATCGGAATTGAACCGGTCAATCGGGCCGACTGATTCTCGGCCACAATTCCGACGGGCAAAGGCTACCCCTCTCTCTCTCTCTCTCTCTCTCTCTCTCTCTCTCTCTATGCTGGAAATTACAAAAATGCCCCTAAGTGAAATTACCAAAATACCATTACTTAAAGGTTAAGCAAAATTACTTAGGGGTTAAGCAAATAAGTCATGGCCGTTCATTTAAAATTGCATCATGGCCATCCATAGTACCATGTCACTTATCCTTAGCCTCTAAGGAATATTCTTAATCACTAAGGGAAGATTTTAGGCCATTGGATCAATTAAATGACTAGAATTCAAACTTGGGGGAGGTATATAAGGATTTTCCCACCAAAAATTAAAGGGGGCTCATTTTTCAGATTATTTTCTCTCATTCACAGATGTGTGCTTAACATTCTGAGCAATGGCGCCAATAGCATGAGCTGCAGCAACCCTCGTATCCCAATTCTTACTACGAAGGTATTGAGCAACCTAATCAAATAATTAAACTCACATAAGCGAATGAGAATCATAAGGTGCAAAAAACACTAGCACTTCTTGAAAAACTAATATCACAGCTGTAAGAAATGAAAATATTATTACTATTTTATGGGACATATCATACTTTAAGGATCTTATTTAACTACTCGCCAAACCTTCACCTAGCCTAGCACTTCCTGAAATCGTTATCATTATATCACACGTAAATAGCATCTGTCAAGCACCATTTACGGCCAAAACCCTAGCACAGGGCAGCCTCAGACACTGCAGCATCAAAAGCTAATAATACCAAACAAACATTGGGTTTCTGCACCAAAAGGAGAGCCCCTATCTGGACATCTTCCTTCTCTCTTGTTTTCAATGAAATTCATGTCGCAGAAGTCCCATCATTAGCCTCCGCACTACCTCAAAGAGCAATATCGAACAGCACGATCTAAAAGAGCGACTCCCAAAACTTGTCATCATGCCCATATGAAATTTCTAATGCAGAACGCCAAGCTAACGGCAGCGACACATATCTTCCTCGACGATTAGATTAGATGAGTTGTCCCAATGGCATTGCAAAGAAAATAAAAATACCTTCTTTAAGAGAGAGGCCAAGTCCCGGGGATGCGACTTGGCGATATCTCCAATCTGGCGAGCCGCGGCGAACCTCGTGGACTGAGTCGAACCAGCTAGAAACACAATTTCGTTAAGGGAAAAAACCGCAAAATTCACCCAATCGACAGCCACCAACCGAGCAAACACCAGATCCAAACAAGCACGACACGAAAAGGATACTGTCGAGAAGAGTGAGCAGCCGATTGAGTCGCGACGATTGCTGAGCCATAGCTGCCGCACCACACACCACCAACGCAACAATGCCTTCAATCCGCAACCCGCGGCTGCATCCTCAATCATCCAATCACCCCCCCGATTCGCGGGATCCCCAGCAACGGCAACGGCAACGGCTGCGGCGCTCGGTATCAAAACGGCGGCTCCGCGCCAACTGCGCGGGCACTTCGCATCAGCGGGGCCGCGGCGCCGGCGAAAGCGCGACCGGGTCCCTCTGAAACGGAGGGGCCAAATTCGGATCGGGGAGGAATTCGGGGAGAGGAGGGGGAAGCGCGACGGAGCGGCTGGGAAGCGGGGGGGATCTTCTTCAACGGAGGAGGGAAGCGGCGGAAGGAGGAGAGAAGAGGGAATTAGGGATTCGGGAAGAACCTCTGAAAATGGCGACGGTTAGGGCAAAAGGGAATATGGAAGCTCCCTTCTTCTCCTCTCCTCTGTCTCTCTTCTTCTTCTTCGTCGTCGAAGCGTTTTCTCTCTATCTCTCCCCCTCGCGTATCTGATAATATAAGCTCCCGAATTTTCTTGTGCATGTGCATTTTCCAACCCAAAAAAAAGGCAAAAGAAAAATTTAATGAATGAAATTATTATTGTTCTTCTTTTTTTTTTAATTCGTGAAATTATCCGAGCAAATATTTTCGTGGCACGAAATTTCTTTGCATCCGAATATAATCTTTGTATAGGATTCGTACTTAGGTTCCTTTATAATTAGTAATATTTTAATAAATGATGAGGATTAATGGTATGTATTTCATTTGGACTTTTTGTTTTTTTTTTTTTATAGCGATGGCAAATTCTTCTTGAATCCAAGACGGCTATTTTTTTCAATTAAATATTGGAGAAACGGGTTATATATGAAGACGAAATATAATATCGTATAAAGAATAAAAATTGACGGATTGTGTATAAGATATAGTTAATAACCGATTATCTGCTATAAATAACATCATATAAGGAATAAATAATGACAGATTATGTACAAGATATAATTAATAACCGACCATCTGCTATAGAGTCAAATATTATTTTTGCATTGTTAAACTAAGGTTCATCAAGAAATTTTTGCAAGAAATCGGACAAATTTAGGAATAATGATACAAATGGTCCTCAATTTTGGCCAAATATGCAATGTACTCCCTAAACTTTTAATTTATTCAGTTTTGTCCTTAAATTTTACTCTAATGTGTAATGTAGCCCCTGAACTTTTAAATTGTTCAATATGGTATATAGACTTTTGGTATATGTTCAATTTAATCTCTGAACTATATGAGAATATTAAATGTTGTCCTTCTATTAATTAAGCTTAGGGACAAAATTGATCATTTTTATATAATTCAAAGACCACATTAAATAATTTAAAAGTTCATGGACCATATTACATATTGGGCTAAAGTTAGGGACCACATTGAACATATTAAAAATTTAGGGACTATATTGTACCATAAGTTAAATATAAAAAACCATTTGTGTTATTTTCCCTTAAAATTCATTATATGTTAAAATGAATGGATTGTGAACAGTCAATGGACTATCTAAGCCTCTTAGATGAATTTCCAATCGTGTTAATCTTTTTCAATCTACTACTTTATCCTTACATTTTACCTTACCTTTAGGAATTCACAAGCAACTACTGAGACTACGACGGTTAAGGCAAATAATGAAGCTCCTTCTCTACTCTTTCTCTTCGTAGAAGTCGAAGCACTCTCTCCCTCTCTCGCACAAGATGATGTAAGCTCCCAAATTTTTTTATATGCATTTGTATTTTCAACCAAAAACGGAAAAAAAATAATAAATAAAATTATCATTTTTGATAAATACTGAAATTATCCAAGCAATAATTTTCGTGACACAAAATTTCTTTACATCCGAATATAAGATTTTATAGGATCCATAATTAAGTCCCTTTATATTTAGTAATAATTTAATAAAAAAAAATAAGGATTAATGGCGTGTATATTTCACCTAGACCTTTTGTTTTTTATTACAACAACAAATTCTTCTTAAATCCATGACGACTATTTTTTTCAATTAAATATTCGAGACACGAGTTTTTATGAAGACAAAAAATATTTTTTTCAATTGACAAATTGTGTATAAAATTTTTTTAATAACCGACTATATGCTAAATGGCATCATATAATGAATAAAAAATTCACCGATTATCTACTGTAGATTCAAATATTTTTTACATTGTAAATTAAGGATTATCTAGAAATTTTTGAAAGAAATCAAGCTCGTTTAATTTATTATATGTTAAAATGAATGGATTGTGAATAATCAACGGGTGATCTAGGCCTCTTGGATGTATTTTCAATGGTGTTAACCTTTTTTCAATCTAGTACTTTATTATTACTTTTTACCTTACTTTTAGGGATTCACAAGTACCTACTTGAGATTGAGAATAGAAAAGTGGGGCAAAAGATGAAGCTCCTTCTCTCCTCTATCTCTTCACCTCCCATGCACGGTGACATAGGGGCGAAAAAGGAAAAGAGGGGATGAGGTTTCTCTCACTTTTGACATAGCGGGTCTCGGCGGGAGGCCCGCACGATGAGCTATTAACTCAGTGGTAAGGCACGCCCTTGATAATTGCGTCGTTGTGCTTGGGCTGTGAGTCGACCACATGGATAGTTCAATGTGCTCATCAACGCCTAACCAAGGCGCTCTCTCTCTCTTTCATCCGATAATATAAGCTTTGAATTTTCTTATACATGTATATTTTCAACCAAAAGAGAAAATAAATAATACATAAAAGGGTTAATACCACGAAAAATCCCAAATTAATACACCTGTGACAAATTTATCAAAAACTAATTTTTTGACCACCAAAAATCCCAAACTGGTATACCTATAACAACTTTACCTGCTGTTAGTTTTCGTTAAATTTTACGATCAAATTGATTTATTAAATTACACGAAGCAGTTGACGAATGTACCAATTTTGGATTTTACTCTTCGTTTGTCGGTTTGTATTTTTTTGGTATTAATCCAATTTAACGGAAAATAACGGAGGGTAAATTTATCATAAATGTACTAGTTTGGGGTTTTTCGTGATTGTCACAGGTGTACCAGTTTGAGATTTTTTTGTAGTCAAAAAATTATTTTAGGTAAATTTATCACAAATGTGCCAGATTGGGGTTTTTTGTGGTATTAATTCTAAATAAAATTATCCTTGGTTTAACCCCGAAATTATCCAAGGAAATATTTTCATGGCACAAAATTTCTTTGCATCTGAATAAAATCTTTTATCATAGTACTTAGATTCCTTTAGGGTTAATACCACCAAAAACCCTAAACTGGTATATGTGTGACAATTTTACCACGAACTTTTTTTTTTACCACCAAAAATCGCAAACTGGTACACCTGTGACATTTTTACCCCAAACTTTTTTTTTACCACAAAAAACCCCAAACTAGTATACCTGTGACAATTTTACTCCAAACTGGTAAACCCGTGATAAATTTACCCTAAACTATTTTTTTGACCACGAAAAACCTCAAACTGGTACACCTGTGACAATTTTACCCCAAACTAATAATTTTTTAATATTATTTTTTTGAATTTTTTGATTTTTTATTTTTTTTTTCTTCATCTTCAACCTCTAGCCGATCGCCGGACTGGCAACCGGCCAGAGGCAGAAGCCGGCGAGGTCTACCCCGCTAACCACTGGCAAGGACCGCCCTCGTCGGCGTTGAGCGAAGGCTATCCTCGCCCGCCCAGGCGAGGTCGGCCTGTAACATCCCGAATTTCGGCCCATTTTTGGGATTTATAAAACGCGTAATTTGTCAGTGTGCTTATGGTAAAATCTCGCCCGGGAACTGATCACTCTCGGTTATTATTTTTAAATGAGAGATTTCGCTAGAATCGCACTCGATCGAATTTGGCCGTTATTTAGAGCGTAAATTTTGGTGTCGAAATTTTTGGAGTTCCGGGACGAATTTAATTAGACGGTGTCGATATTATTGTGGCCAGCGTCGCTATTGCCAGGAATATGTGAAAAGTGGATTTTTGACCGGGTGCGGATTTGGACTAGTAGACCTCCCTCGTAGTGTGTTTTGGTTTAATTCAGTTTCGCCCTTTTTCCTATATTATTAAGTAGGATTATTACGGACCATTAGATCGATTTTTAGTTTGAACAGTGTCCGTTGGATCGCACTCGAGTGCATTGACCTTTTTCTTTCTCTCTCTCCTCTGCCGTGCGCGTCTCCTCCGCGCGTCCCACCCATGCAGACCAACCCCCCTGACACTCTCTCTCTCCTCTCTCCTTCTTTCTCTTTTCTTTTTCTTCTCTCTCCCTTTTCTTCTTTTCTTCGTCTTTCTCTTCCTTCTCCGCCGCGTCTGGTTCTGCTCCGCCTCCGCTTCTGCTCGCCCAGCCGACGCCGCCCAAGCCCGCCTGACAGCCGAGTGCCGCCGCCGTCGCCAGCTAGCTCGACCGCCATGGGCCGGGCACGTCCGCCAAACTGGGCCGCCTCCGACCGATCGGGTCTCCTCCTCCGCGCACAAAGAAATGTAACTCCCGCTGCTGCGTCCGGCGAGTCCCAAATGGGCCCGTCAGTTCCCGCCGTCCGCCAGCTTACCCGAAGACTGCCCCGACGCCCGAGAGCTTGCCAGCCGCGCGCCGAGCGCCCTCACCGCACCCACCCGCCTGACCCCACTTCCCTCGTTCTTCCCTTTGGCTTTCCGCCGTTCGCCGCCGCCGGTGCCGCCGCCGTGAGCCGCCGTTCCTCTCGCCTCGCCACCACCACCATCCCGTCCCCCTCACCTCTCCCTCTCGCCGTATCTCCCTCTCTCCCGCTCCCCCTCTCCTTCTCGGCCGCTCAAGGGCCTCGCTGGAGCCGCCGCTCGCCGTTACTGTTCCGGCGCGGATCCGCCACTGTCCAACCGCCATTGCCATTTGCTCAGCCCTATTTGGAGCCTAGGAATCCATGTGAGTACAACCCTAAACCCTAATTAATCTAATTTACATTTCTAGATGGGTTTTAGGGGGTTAATTAGGGTATTTTAGGGGTTAAATCGTGGAGATTATTAGGGGTTGATCTTGTGGCTATTTTACGGGTTTAGTGTGATAATTTAATTGAGGTTTAGTGGCCCGTATAGTACTGTGCGGTGGCTGTGCATAGGCGCCTTAATTTGGGCGAAAATGTGAATTTGGCGGGTGCAAATTGAGGACCGAGTGGAGGCTGTTAGGGGCTGATTTTGTGGCGCGTTTGGTGACCGAGAATGATGATTTAATTGAGGTTTAGTGGACCACAGAGTGCTGGGTTGTGGCGAAGCATAAATGCCTTGATTTGGGCGAAATTGTGGACTTGGCGGATGAAATTTTGTGGATCGTATGGTCGCTGATCTTGTGGCTATTTCGTGGCTTAGTGTGATAATTTTAATGAGGTTTAGCGGCTGAGAATGTGCTGTGTGTTGGCTGGAGGTGTTGGATTAAATCGGCCCGAGTTCGGGTTCAATTGTGGAATATAGTGCGCGTCTAGTATGG